GTATTCTGGAACCTGGATAACATTTTATTCTGTCACTATGGTTTTCTTGCTCTGGTGACATCAACTAATTTGTACTGCTTTACAGGGAATTTCTGTGCCCGGCTTTATAGCCAGAGTCTTGGCTTCCTTATGCTGCTTTTACTCTTTTCTGTCAGACTGAATTTCTTGCAGAAAGAAAATATTGCTCGATATTGATTCCATTGTGCTAGCTAATTTCAGGCTCTTGTCCTGCAGATCATCTGAAGTGCTGTTCAAAATCTTGAAGGATTTTCTAATGCAAAACCCACAAATAAAATAAAGCACACAATATTGCCCAAAGAGAACCCTCTGTTCTCTAATCCTTTAAAAAACTGTTAGAAGTCAAATTATCAGGCTTTTTGCAAGGCGTACACAAATGAGTAAACAGTTTTCAAAAAGCTCCTAAAATTCTTAGGTTTTTGGCCTGTGTTTTTATTTTGTTGGCATAAAATATTCGTATTCTGTCAAAATGGGGCAGATATAACAGTGGAGAGATTGAAAGTTCTTCTTGATACTGTCCCTATAGAACTCAATGGATTTCTGTAGAAGTAATAAGAAATCTCTTAGTTTACTTCCGTGTAGATGAAGAATATCACATTTCAACCCCTTTGCTTCCTCTGTTTTGAGGACAAGGTACATCTGTTATTTTAATTTCTTTTTCTCCCCAGGCTGCTGTGAAGGCTGGCCTCAAAAGGCAATTATTCTTCAGTACTTTGAGCTCTAGGAGTACTCTCTTGTATTCTGAAAAATAAGAATTGAAAATATCTAACTAATGCCGTCTTCCCCTTCCACAAGCTATAGCCCATCCACCTTTGAGTTCATTAATGATTCCTTCCTCAGTGTTGCCATCCTGCTCTTTGTCTGCTTCACCTAACCATCTGTTTTTAGATAGCACAAAGCTGCTGTGGGTCCATGTTAGAACTCCTCATTTACCATATACTGTTCTTGCCGTGTGAGTCAGTGCCTTCCTACTGTGAATATGGTTTTATTTATAATGATTTTAAAAGCACAATATTTTTTCAAAAATATTTGAATACAACCTGAAAGATAAAAGATTATATTAGTAGAGGCAAATACCTGCATTGGGCTATTTCAGCCTGAACAAATCATATTTGTCTGATACAGGCACCTAAAAGCAGAATAACATAATGGGAAAATGCCAGAAAATCTTGAGAAGGAATCACACTGCCAACTCTGCCTAAAAAATAAATTAAGTTTACTAATGATTATATTTCCCCTTGTATCTATACAGGGAGCCTAGAGTTCCTGGTCTTCGGAGCTGAGATGACAAATGCATTTCCTGACAGCTCCAGCTCACTTTTCATTATTGATAAGTTAAAACAGTGTGGCTGTTAGCTGTTCCGTAATTTGTCCAGTGAGCTTAGGAAACAGCTGCAGCTTGAGGAGGAAGACATGAAAAGAACTCACGTATAATATGATAGTGGCACCTGAGCTCCCTCTGCCTTGCTGCCAAGCTAACGGTTGTCACAAAATGAAGGCGCTCTGGCTTCTGCTTTGCAGTTTACTTTGCTGCTGTGTCCTAGGAACGAAGCAGTTACGACTGAAGATGGGAAGTGCTTCTGGTGCTAATGGGTATTTGGGGAAATGGGAATATTGGCAAACATGGAAGGCAAATAGGTCAAAGGGATCTCACTGTGTTAAGTGCGGGACAGAGTAAAAACAGGGCGATTACAACAGTTCTTTTTTTTCTTAGTTTAATTTTGCTGCCCAAGGTGGTTATCTAAGAATTCTGAAATACTTGCCTGTTTTGTTTTTTTCTTTTTTTTAACCCTAATCCACAAGATAGCTGACAGGGTAACTTGTCTCTTATTACAGAAAAGATTTAGCATGTTTACTTAAAACTATTCATGCTAAAGCCCATATGAATATGTAAGAAAACGATTCTGTATAGCAGCATTTATGTGAGGATTGAAGTATTACCACACAGTAATAATGAAATCTAAAGATACAGATAAGATAAATGACAGGAAATTATACATAAAAATAGGAGAATTCTCCATAGAATAAATCTAAAGCTTATCATAAACAAAGAAAAAAATAAAAGGAACAGGAAGAAAAGTAGAGAGAAAAAGCACTGAGGTAAGAGGAGATAAGCATAAAAAGAATTTGTATCAAGGAGAAAAAAAATTAAAAAGACTATAAAGAGCAAACCATTTCCCAGATATGAAGGAATACACATGCTCAAGATTATCTGTATGTAACAGCTGAGTAAAGGCTTCTTTCTTCTGAATGTCTGCTGTAGTGAGTGCAGCTCATGTTATTGTCCAGTTAGTGTTATTACAAACTGATGCACTGTAAGAGATTTTGGCACTTAGGCAAATGTTGTGGAATTAACATAAAAAGCCAGCGAGCGTGACAGGAAAATCATGGTAAAGTGATAAGTATGGAAGTTGAAAATAACCTTCTTAGATATCAAAAATAGCCTTGAGGAGTAAGAGGAAGCTAACAGAAGAAATAGAAGGTTGTTAAGAACGTAGGCAGGTGCTAAGTACAGAAGCAGAATGCCAAGAAAGTGAAATGTGACATTAAAAGCAGAACATGAATTTCTCACTTCCAATTAGGGAATAATGGTGACTATGACCTGTGTGGGTGGGCACAGACAGTCATTTATCTTTTGGACGAAAACACAAGGTTGCCAAAAGTCTTGCCATCTTAGGCTTTGTCTCAATTTACTTTCTTAAGGATGACTTAGCAAGATTATCGAGGATTTATTCTTGAAAGAGATATGAGAGTGGATCACATACAGTATTGTCTGTTTCTCTAGCACTTGTCTCTGTTCTGTCAATTGTACTGGATTGCATAAAACAGAGAATTTGGCTTGCAAGGGCAGGTATGAGTAGAACAAGGAACTTAAAGAAGCAGAGGTCTGGTTAGAGATACAGATAAAAACATTTTAGGAAAAAAAAGAAAAGAGAAAACATCATCAAATAACATACAGAAAGACTAAATCTAGCTGGAGAATATACTGCTAGCAAAGTAACGATGAGGGGATCAAGACAACAAAAAGATACTATTTGCCTATATTAGAAAGGTCAGCATGAATAAAACAAGCAGACAGACATAATAAGGAAGAATGCCACATTCTTAAAAATTTTAGGTGAGATGAAAAATAGCTGTAATGTTAAAAACAGAATTGAAGACTGTTGTATTATAAGAAGACTTTTATTATATGCTCATTTGTGATTCTAGTGCAAATAAATGCAAATAAAGGATCTCAGAGAAGACTCTTAGCTGTTATCACCAGGGTTAGAAGCTGGATTTAGGGAGTTGGTAAATTGCAGAAAATTTGAATCTAGAAGATGTAGAATGTGATATTCAAAATAGTGTAAGACTTGGACTGGAAGAAAAAAAACTTGAATCTCGCACTCTGTCTTAGGTAAGGTAATACACAAGCCAGCAGGTCTGACATTTCCATTAGGCCTTAGGAATCATCAAAATACTTCAGTATTGGATGGATTCTGTCAGAGATGCTCATCATGCACAGTCTTATTGACTGCAATAAAAGGTTTTTTTTGGCAATGTTTACAAATCTGTAAAGATGTAGGCTAAACACAAGACTTTGATGTTCCCAATTTTGGCACCCAAGTTTGCAAATAGTGGATTTGCAATGGACTTCCACCTGCTCCAAAATTATCATGATACCATCCTCATCCTACTTGGTTTTGACCAATAGCTGCTATTAAGCTGCTATTAGTTGTTATTTTTAAGTAATTCCAACATTATTTAGAGTGCAATTTTATATGCTGAATTTAGAACTCCTGTAGCAATTCTGAAATGCTTATGCAGTCCATACAAAATGACATGTTGTACAGCAGGTTTTTGTAGTCTATTCATGGTCTGGTTTACTAACAGGCTGCTGCTGCTAACCCAGTTTAGGTCTTCCAGCAAGGGGGTTGCACTGATAGGAGTTTGTTCACAGAACAAAGTCTTATATTGAAAAAATTGATCAATTGATCAGCAAGTCATAAATTCATAATCTTGATTAAATTAACTATAGAAATTGTGAATTTCAGCATATATGAGTGGTTGCACTGGGATTGAATAGGTTCTTAGTGTCTGAGCAAGTACAGAAGGAAAAGTTTAACTTAAGCAGAAATTCCTATATGGAAAAATATTTGGACAATTATATTTGCCTAAAAGTGAATCCTCTTCTCTAACTGTGAAGATTATCGTGTCATCTGGCAGAGCTTCTCTGAAAGACAGATAAGAAACAGACGCTAAGAAACAGGCGGATATCGAGACATATTGTCATATTTATTTATTTGTCTTTCTCTCTAAATCTAGCAATTAGTTCCTGAAACATTCATTCTGTTAGACAAAAACAACAACAAGTCATTAGCAATTTCTTTTTAGTTTTCCCTTAAGTTTTGAGAGTGATTTCAGGCTTGTCCAGCCAACTGTATACTGCATATCCTGGCCAATGTCAGATGTTACTCTCTGAATAAACTTAGGTGTGTACTACATTTGGGGAGAGATCTTGATTGACAACAAAGTTAAGAGTCTGTTTGAAAACAGCAAAAATAGGGGAAAAGGTCAAAAACATTGGATTTTCTCAAACTCAACTTAGTTTTCTTTTATCAAAATTGACAAAAGGTAGAACATAATAATTTCATAAGCAGTAAACTAAAAATATTAACATCCTGACAGATGGTTGTATATTTAGTATGTTTTTCAAATTTGTGTTGCTTCTCATTAAAAAGAGCATCCAAAATATTTGTAATCAGCTCAGATTATTTATTGATACCTGCACAACAAGTTCATGATCCTCCATGCTTGGGACTTTCATCTAAGAAAGGAGAGACAAAGCAAAGAAAACCCTATAAAAAGAACACCTGAGTTACTCCATGCTTATTACATACTGCTTTTGGGGGATAGAGGAGAAATGCTTAAGGACAAGGCTAAATTGTCAGATACAAGTTAGAAGAAATTCAGCTTATTTGAGTGCATGCCTTTCTTAACAGGGACTTTGAGTGTTCCAGTTCTGTCACAAAGATATGAATGGTCCTGAGACAGATGAAGAATGTAAATAAGCTTCTAGACCAAAGCGTAAGACAAAGATAGTGAAGATGAGAATTCAGACAGCAGCTCCAGACTCCAGAGGACTGCAAGGTAGGTGGACAGCAAGACAAGTCTTACTGAACACACCAGGCTGTGGGACTCTGCTCCATACCTGTAGGAAATCAAGTTAACTGCCCTCACTGCAAGCCGATGTTTATAACACAGTGTCCTGCTCTAGATTTCATCTAATTCAGGCATATTTTCCTTAGATACCTGTAGTCATATAACCTACTTCTGATATGTGCATGAAGAAAGAGGCTGTCATGTCAGGTAGCACCTCCACAGACATTGTCAGAACAGGAGTGACAACCTGGGCATAACAGCAGCTTTCAGTATACAGAACAAAGCCAAACAAACACACAAACAATCAAACAGAAGAAAAACAACATGTAGTTAGCGTTCCAGAAAATGTGTCATTTAGCAATACTGCAGGAATCTATTGATTGAAAATTCAATTCAATCAAAAAATTTTCCTTCTCGGGACATGAGTCGCTGCTGTATTATTAAAAATTCTGAATGTTGTTGATCTGGTTGCTTTATTGAGGAAGAACAAGATGAAAGCAAGAGTCAATAACCCCTGAAAAATGAGAAAAATGTACATTTGTGGACTTAACAGATGGAGATAAGGGTAGGTTCAAATTATTAAGAAAACTTACTTGCTAAAATTACAAAAATATTTAACTTTTGCATTTTAAAACTAATACAATTGTAATATACTTTAATATGAAGTTGAAACTTCAAAATGAAACCTCATTGCTTAATAGTAAAAGCAGTTATTCTGCAGCCTGTATTTGTTACTTCTCTGACAGGAATAGAAGAGAGCAAGAATCTTTGGTTTCTTTTTGTGAAATAGGGGTTCTATTACTTTCAGTCTGGTTCTGCCTGTTTTATAAATATTAGCTGGAAAATGTGATAAACTCCTCCTCAGTTTTCGCAGAGTAGAAAATCCTTCATTCTCTGTATATGATCAGCGTATAAGCACTGTTTTTGAAAGGTTAGTAGTTGTCACGGTTTGTCCTCAGAATCTTAATTATGTAAAGTAATAAATTTAGCATGAGTAATTGTAGCACTATTAATTTTAATTCATATTTCAAGAGTGCAGAAACATATACAGATAGTAGCAAACTTTTTGAACTGCATTATGCTAAATTTTTCTCCAGATTAATTAAATGAGTGCTCTTTAACTCTCTTCGTGATCAACCATAATCAGGCCTTTCATTTCACCTTCAGGCTCATGTTTTCCTGACTGATGGTACTTTCATTAAATTTCATTTCTTCTCCTTGCATTTAAATTGTTCCTTTTCATGAACATTTGTCCATATGAAGTTGTGATCATAGGGCTCTTAGGGCTCACTCTGAGGGCTGAAAATGTTAGCCGCTTATGCCAACTTTTCTTGTGACAACTAAATAGGAGTTTCTGTGAAATGAGGTAATATTTTCGTACTTCATGGTTTATCAGTTATTTAAAAAAACAAAAAAAAAAACAAAAAAAAACCAAAACACAACAAAACAATGCAGCAAACTAAAGAGAAGGATGTGGGTGTCCTAGTGGACAACAGGATGGCTGTGAGTCAACAGTATGCCCTTGAGGCCAAGGCTAATGGTATCCTGGAGTGTACTGAAAAGAGCATGGCCAGCAGCTTTATTCTGCTCTGTCCTGCTGAGTCCACATCTGGAGTACTGTGTCCAGTTCTGGGCTCCCCAGTTCAAGAAAGTCAGGGAACTGCTGGAGAGAGCCCAGGAGAGGGCCAGAGAGCTGATGAGAAACTGCCCTGGGGCATCTCAGGTGTGAGGAAAGTCTGAGAGACCTGGGGTGTTCAGCCTGGAGAAGAGAAGGCTGAGGGGGGGGGGGGTATAAACAGTGCATTTAATATATTGATAAACATATGTATGTTGTTATCACTGTTTACAAGTAAATAAAGTGCAGGAGTCAAGTCAATGGGGCAGACTTTTCAGCAGTGCCCAGCAAGAGAACATGAGGCAGTGGGCACAAACTGGAACACAAATAGTTCCACATGGACATAAGGAAAAACTTATTTACATTGATGGTGAGAGAGCACTGGATCAGGCTGCCCAGAGGGGCTGTGGAGTCTCGTTCTCTGGAGATATTCAAGACCCATCCGATGCCTCCCTGTGCAATACACCTATCGCAGGGAGCCTGCCTTAGCAGGGGGCTGCACTCAGTGACTTCCCTATGTCCCTTCTAACCCCTATAATTCTGAGACTCTATGAAATATGAAAGCAATAGCAATATGTACTTCTGTTTTTATTACCATTGTCTGTTTCTTTTGGGATGGCTTTAACCACAGCTATGAACATGGTTGGGGTCCTTTAGATGGCCACTTCTGCAGTTTGCTACATGTATGGCCAGTATGGGGGATCATAAAGACTACCACGAAGTCAAACTTTCAGATAGTCTGCTATGTTAATACTGACCTTTAATAGATAGCATTTACCTCAAGAGCTTGAGCTGGGAGAAAAATGTGTGCTTGTGCAGACCGTTAGAAGCAACATCAACTGGAACACAACACCGAGGACCACCATAGCACTAACGTGACTGAACTGCCTCAAGGTCTATAGAAACACAGGAGTGGGTCGGCTCAGCGAGATCAGTGCTGAGATCCTGCAGCACCCCTCCATTAAAACAACCCTCGGCTGCAGCCGGGCCAACGTTTGAGGCCCTTTTCCTGCATAGCCGGGCCACGGACACCCGCCCTCACCCACTCCCGGGGTGCGGAGCGACATGGCGCCGGGACTCCCCGCCTCCCTCCCGCCCCTTTCTCCACCCCTTCCCGCTTTGGCGCCAAACGGCGAAGGAGAACGGCGGGATGAGCGGCCATCAGCGCGGCCACGTTAACGGGTACGCTCCTTCGCCTCCTGCCCTGCGCCGGCCCTCGGGGACCGCGCTGAGCGAATGAGGGCACGACGGGGCGGAGAGGCCGAGGGTTCAGGGGGTCCACGGGTGCTGCCGTTTCCAAGCTCCCTCTGCGGTTCCCTTCGCGCGCGTACTGCTCAGCTGGGGCTCAGCAGCTCGGCGGGGGGAAGCGTGAAGTGCCTTAGGGAGCGGCATGCACATCTGGCACAGCATTACAGGCTAAACGGTGAGGCATAAGGAAGCTAATGCAAAAAGTCAGCAGGAGCGTGTGACCCGTTTGGCATTTGGGAAACGAGGCCATAGGTGCTAAGGGGGGTTTTTTTAAGCAAAGAAATACACGCTTGGACTTTTACCTTAATTTCTGTGAGTTGAGTGACAAAATACTGGTAGTTGATTTGCAGTAGAAATCTCCTGGGAGAAAAAGAAAATACGGTGTAGTTGGAACGTGGTGAAGGCCTCACCTGGAGCACTGTGTCCAGATGGGGAATCCTCAGTGCAGGAGAGATGTGGTCCAGAGGGCCACAACAGTGACCCAAGGGGTGGAACACCTCCCTACAAGGACAGGCTGAGAGAGCTGGGGCTGTGCAGCATGGTGAGGGAAAGGCTATGGGGAGACCTGAGAGCGGCCTTTCAGTATCTAAAGGCTAAAGTAAGAAATCTAAACCTAAACTCTAAAAAATCTGGAGTAAGAAAGAATGGGTCAGACTTTAGAAGGGTCTGTTGTGCTAGGACAAGGGGAAATGGTTTCACATTAAAAGAAAGCAGATCTAAACATGACGTAAGGGAGTATTTTACACTGAGGGTGGTGAAGCACTGTCACAGGTTGCCCAGAGAGGCAGTGGATGCCCCATCCCTGGAGACAGTCAAGGTCAGGCTGGAGGGGCTCTGAGCTCCTGATGGAGATGTAGGTGTCCCTGTTCAGTGCAGGGAGTGGGACCAGGTGGCCTTTAGGGGTCCCTTCCAACTCAGACAGTTCTGTGATTCTATACTGCATGTGATATCAGAAATAGAAAGCAGCAGGAAAATGAGAAGGGAAAAGAAAGTCCAATACCTGTCTATTCACCAGTTGTACTACACTGCTGTGTAACTGACCACTACAATTCATTGTCTGTGTTCTGTTTTAAGATTTTCTACCTTTTTTTTTTGTTGTTGTTGTTTAGGTAAACTTTTTTTTTTTTCTGTAGCTGGATGAAATTTCTTCCCTTTTTTTGACACAGTGTTATCATTTACTTGAAGATGAATGGGAAAGAACTGAAAACAGAGACTTGGCCTTTAATTGCAGACTCTCTGTTTGCCTTTGAAATACTGTTTACATAGACTTTTCTACAGATTATAAATTGTTGTAGAATTTGGGGATTTTTTTCCTTCCTTTTTGAGTAATGCTATCTGCATGGCTTTCACTTCCCGTTACTTTTATTCATTGGTTTGTTTGAATTATCACAAGGATAAATGCTATTTTCTCTTTTTGTAGCTAGCTTTTTAAAGCATTTTTTTTTAGAGTAGATATTCTTCATGCAATTCTAGAACTTACAATTGAGTGTGAGGAGAATTATCAGCTGCCTAAAATCTTTATGCTTAATTTTCCTGTTTGTGCTTTACCACTAGCCAAGTCCTTGGCTTCTGCTTAATCAGGAATTAAGTGTCTTATACCCATTTCACACTCTTGTGTTCCTGTGCAATCAGCTGAAGGAATCATCTAGCCAAACGTTGTGATGTTAAGTAGAAGTAATTGAGTGAGGTTTTTGTTTTTTGTTTTTTTTTTTTTTTTTTCCTCATGTTCTCTTTGATGTCAGCCTTCTGCTCATTTCTCAGATATGCGCCTCTCGCTGTGAAGCTGGTACTCTGAGGGGCTTCACTTACTTACTGTTTTGTATTATAAGAAAAACTAAATAGTAGCCTTTTGCTGTGGGTTTTTTTTTTTTTTTTTTTTTTTTTTTTTAAATAGCAAGGTTTACTAGGAAATAATTTAACAAAAGGAGATGTAGGAGATGTCGGAATCTCTCAGTTCTCAGTGCTATGATTTTTCTGGAGAGCTTTTCCCAGAATGTGTTACATGGTATAGTTCTGCATTGGGTGTTACGTATCTTTGTTGAGGGCTCACAGAAGATGTCACTGTGAATGTCACTTAGGAATGTAGTAGAGTATTCCTTCGAAGTCTGTGGGGGTTTTGAAGTGTGTAAATCTACTTTTGTGATACATTGTAAATAATCACTCATGAGTTGAAACATTTTCTTCTAATTTCAGTAAACCTGGTCCATGTTCAGTTTGGCAAGAAGTGTGTAAGGGGAAGTCTTTAATTTCTGCTGTGAACCTCTTGTGCTCTGAACACTCTTCTTTGGTAGCAGGATACAGTTTCTATTTCTTAGACAATTCAAGCCAGTTTGAGCACCCTCATTTTTATGTTTGCTTTTATAACAGACAATTTTTGATACTGTTTACAATGTTGTCAAAGTGTGGGAGAGGTCTGCTGGTTGCAGGGAGAATGTATCTTTCTCCCATCTTACTCTGAGATGATGGCCTTAATGATAATCCTCATTCATTCCAAGAAGAAGCCAAAATTGCTTACTTCTAAGATGCCACATATAAGCCACTCAAAAGCAGTAATTTGTCTTTGGTAAATAGAGCCTTGTGGGTTTCTAAAGTACAGTTTTAGTATGTACTGGCATTCTCTTCACTTAAATAGTGTAACCTCGGTGTGACAAGCTAACTGCAAGCCTCTAACACGTGCTATTTTATGTTTTTAGTTATAAAAACAATCATTAACAAAATGCTTGTCTTCTAATGTTTCTGCTTGGAAGGCACTGGCACTAGAGTGGCTGTGAGATGTCTTGCAGTTTGCGGTTACCTCTGATGCACTATTCTGCATGGCTCTACACTGCTGGAAGGGTATCTCAGTCTCTTTCCTCTTTTTTTTTTTTTTTTTTTTTTTTTTTCCTAAAAAGTCTTAAGCTGTCTTCCTGGTAAGTGGAATCCAGGAGGAAAAGTACTGCACTTCTGTATTTTGGTAAGCTATTTACTGTCTTGTATTTGAGCTGTTCTGAGGATTGCTGAGGGGCTGTTAAAATCACTACATCATTTTGGTTTTCAAGTGTAGCAGTGTTAGGTGGGATTTGGGGGACTTTTCTTTTGGGCTTGATGTTTTTCTGGAAATTTGCAAATCTTTCAGGTACTGGAGAGAAGGTTGGGGGAAAAAAAAAGAAGTCTGTCTTTGCCTTCTTTTTCTGAAAAGCACAGATACCTTCTGTTGTGTTTTGTGCTGCCCAGGAAGTCTTTCAACCGAAAGGAGGCAAGAGAAAGTGACGCATCACTTCTCCTGTGCCCCTTCTCTCAAATAAACTGCTCAGTGTAGGGGAAGAGGCAGCTTTTCATGCCACACTTATACATTCTGTCTGAGGGGAAAAGTTGTTGAACTCATCAGCTTACAGGGGGCGTTCATAAAGCCCATAACCTCAAGAGAAATTTAGCATTGGACTATCAGAATGGTTTACAGCCTCAGACTGTTGCCTGTAAGCATTGTCAAAAGAAGCAGACTCAAGCAATAATTGTACAGGCAGAAACGAATGACAGAGCTGGAAGCCTCCGAATAGAAATCTAGAGAATACTTGTCATAGGCAGAAGTACAAAATAGCTTAGATTAGAGGCTTGCAGTTAGCACAGTCATCACAAAAATGATTATGTTGTTTGAGTGAAAAGAACGCCAGTACAAGATATACCTGAATCTTAGAAATACACAAGGTGTTATCTATCGAGGATAAATTGCTCTGTCTTTATAGCTCAATGCTCTGAATAGCTCAGCCTTCTTATCTAAAACAGAAATTTGCAACCTTGCTGGGTTTCCTTTCCTCTGAAAGGAAATGTTGCATATATAAGTTCTTGGAAAGCATGTAACACTGATGATTTACTGGTGAATAAAAGGTGGTCTTTGTGAGATTCTAGTCCTTTAGATTACTTTAAACTTGCTCTCATTGGAAGAATGCAGTCAGCAGTAACTTCACCTAAGTGTTATTTACTGATGACTGCTTTTTTTTTTTTTTTTTTTTTTGGAAACTATAGTTTTGGTGATGAAGCATCCTGTAAAAAACGAGAGGATTATCTGGAATGGCCTGAATATTTTATGGCAGTCGCATTTTTGTCAGCGCAGAGAAGCAAGGATCCAAGTTCTCAGGTAAGAAGTCAATGTATAAGAGTAACATAACCTAATCTGCCTTACACATCACATCAAGTGCACATGTAGCATTTTCAGGGTTTTCTTATTAAAAGTCATTTTAGTATATAGCTTTTGAATTTTCAACACGATCAGCATTTTTGTTACAGAAATTCTTTTATTGGCTCTGACCTCGTGTATAATTCTTGGTGTACATTTGTAGGTTGGAGTTTTGTAAATATTCCCTTCATCTGAAGGTTAAAATGACACACACGTTTTTTCCTTTTTCTTGAAAATAGAGTTACAGTTAGAGGAGAATATAACTACTGAAAGTTGTAGATAGTAATTTTTTTTTAAATATATTTATCATCTCGGAAGTTCCTTTGCCTCACCTGCAAGAGTATAAAAATTCCTTCTTTTTTGTTACTGCACTCAAGTTGTCTCTCTCTCCATCCTTTACTTTGCTCGTGTACCTCTCTTGCACTTAACATTGGTTGGAGGTGATAGATAACCTCTCATGAGACATGCAGTTCTGCAGCACCCAATCAAGTTGTTGGTTTCCTTTCCCTGAAAAATTTCAGGAAGAAGATCCCAACAAAGCAATGGATTAAAATGCATGTATACAGCCTGCTCAGTTACTTGCTGGCTTCTGTGTGTTACGGCTCTCAGTTCTCTGAAGCATGTTTATTTAGGGCTAAATTCTTGTTTACCCAGTGCTGGTTAATAAACACGTTGTGTAAATTAAAATCAATGCTATTGTTGTTTCAGTATGTCTAAATTATGGACACAAAACTTAAAATTCTTCATCACTTCCTCAGTCTAAAAGAAGGGCTGTGTGCGGATTTGGATTAGAGTACTAGAAGGAGGGGGTTAAAGTGTCTGATCGTTTGGTGTGTGTTTGCATAAACAAGCCATGCAGGGTGAATGCTTATCTGTAGCTAGGTCAGAACTAGCACATTTTTGTCCAGTCATCCATCCATTTTCTTTAGCTCCTGTTGCTGCTTATATTGCACTGGAAAAACTGGTCTGGGGAGCTGAACTGACAGAAAACTTGTGTGTAGCACTGTTAGTTGCGTGCTGGTTCTGCTTCCTGAACTTGGTTCACTTTGTAGTCAGACAAGGAACAGCGCTGGCAGACTGAGCTGGGGACTGGGTGGCTAGAAGGTAGCAGGCTTGCATCTGCCCTGGTCTGCCTGTTGGGTTCCGTTGTGACCTTGTTTATTGTAGCCTTGTCAGGTAAAGCTCGTATCTCTAAAATTTGTAGCATTGACTTTTCAGCTCTTATCATCTTTTTTGATATATGATTTTTGCATGCTGTTGGTACTACACAAGTCTTTTTTGTTTTGTTTTGTTTTGTTTTGTTTTGTTTCAGGTTGGTGCCTGTATTGTAAATTCAGAAAACAAGATTGTTGGAATTGGGTACAATGGGATGCCTAATGGCTGCAGTGATGATGCACTACCTTGGACAAGAACAGCAGCACATAGATTAGACACAAAGTATCCTTACGGTAAGGCTACTTGTAGCTGACAAGTCAGACTTCTGATGTTTCTGCATATGAAAGACCATCTGGTAGAATTTCATTCTGTTTTTCTTCCACTTATCCATCTTTGTTAATGTGCTCATACATGATACATCAGAATAATAATCACACTCTGAAAGTAAATTAAAAGTCTGCATGGAGGGCCGGCTTCTGTGTGAAGTATGTTTATACATGGTTAGCCATTTTAGACTTTGAAATGAAGTCTGGTAAATGTAATGCAGCTTATCAGCACACAGTGCATGCAAATGATTGCTGTTTTGGTGTGTTTGTCTCCACGGGAATTACTGAAAGCACGTATATGCAAAACAAATAATTAGTCTAAAGTACTAGTATTAAAATTGTAAACTGCAGTGGTTGTGGGAAATCCCAGTATTAAGGTGTTTGTGGCATAGATAATACGTGTTATGACTTGTAGATTTGAATTTTGTCTTAAGTGTATGACACACTGTCATTCCATGCCTCTTTTCATTTCATGTCACAGTAGATCCTCACTGCTACAAGTGAAGTGACTTTCACTGTTTATTTCAACCTGTGATTTGATTCACCTCTACTAAATGGAGAGAATGAATGAGGCGCAAGGACAGTTTCATGGTAAAATAAAGCTGAGTGCTACTTTGGATTGTGTCTTCACAGCAGGCTTAGTCTGGCTTTCTGCAGGCTTGCTTTGAAGGGTCCTCTGTGATTATTGGCACATCTATCAAACAAGGCCACATGGTTAGACCTCTGCGCCATGTGTGATTTGCAGGAACCAAAGAGGATGGTTCTCTGAGCTGACTGAGGCTTCAGTCCATGAGGACTGGCTGTTGTTGGGCATGGAAATAGTATTGAGAGTTGTCTTGCAGATTTCAGCAGGTGCTGTTGCGGATGAACTGTGGTTAGGACTAATAAAGAAGGGGGGAGTGCATGCTGTCTTCAATCCCTCTTCATGTTTTTACTTCCATGCCAGCTCCTGCTGAACCTCTGTGGGGTGAGACTAGTGCAGCAGGAGCTGTGGGAGCAGGAAAAGCGGGTAGTTCCTTCATTTTGTGCTTCATCTTAGTCCCTCCTGGGTTCAGGAGTAGAAGGGGCAAGAACCACAAAGCCAAATGAGAACCCTTGAGAATTTCTCCTGTGCGTGAATGAGGGGCAGTGAGCACCAGAGTTTGGATTTTATAAGGATTCTGACTCCTCCAATATGAAGTATTTATTTCTGTCCAATAAATCCATGTTTTTGTTTGTAACTTCTAAAAATTGATCTGATACAGGAATGGGACTTGCATTAGCTTGGAAATTTCTTGTGTTCATCCAAAGCTCTTTCTAAACAGTGATATTACATTTTCCTATAGCTTTGAAATGTACGATTATATGCTGTGGCTCAGCTCAATTAATCAGCTTTGTTTTTGAGTTCTTGTCCTTGTTCAGTTCACCAATTCATCATCAGACCTCTAAAACTAACTCTTAAACATGGTAAGATTTCTTGTTATTTTTCATAAGAGATGCACTGCTTACAGTAGCACCAGCTCCTGCCAAATTTTAACGTCTGTTCTAAAGCACAGAAGCTCTGGTTTTACATATAATGAAGATACTATAATGGTTCACCATGGTACGACTGCTTTTTATTTATAGGGTGTGGAAACAAACATTGCCCCATTGATTAAAGATAAAGCTGAAAAGAGAATATTGATTTTGGTTGGGTCGTTATGCTTGCTGCAAGTTCTCAGTTCTGAACTAAGATCAGTGTGTGTGGTCTTTGGGTCTTAAGCACGTTCCAGGAGAGATGCAGAAATAGGGCTTTCAAATATAAAGCTCATTGATTTAAACTAAAAAAATATATATATCTGGGATTTGTGGGAATATTTTATACAATAAAATATGAGGGTTTTTAAAATTTTATTTCTAGTTAATACTGGCTCCAAAAGCTGTGGAATATTTCTTTTTTAACAAGTAAAAAGTTAATACACAATGGTTTAAAAAATGCACTTATCAATTTTGAAAGCTTGGAGAGACGAGTTCATTGCTAGGAGCTGCTCCAACTTGTGCCTTTCCCCTAAAGAATCTCAGTCTTCACCTCGTTAGGAAACATCACCACTTTGTAACAAAGTGTCTACTGTGACGAATTAACAACCTATTTTGTAATTCACAGATCATTTAAAATCTAGCAATTTCTTATTAATCTGGATAGCACAGTTGACAAACCAGGCAAGTACATATAAAAAAAATAAAATCTGCTTTAAGAAATTGTGGTAGATTCAAAGCGACACATAGAATTGCTGCTAAAATCTCATTAAGCTGTCATGTTTTCCTTACTGCTTTTGCTGATTATCACTGCATTTGTGTAAATTGAACTTCTTAGCTTTGATTTTTGTTGACTATCTTGTTAAAGGGTAGTACAATCTTACTATGTGCTCCATGAGCTTATCATGGGAATGCTGGCGCTGACTCCTCTAGAGCTGGGTGGTGTTTATTATGTCAAGATGGTAACTGTGCATATACCACCATGCTACCCTGGAGGATGTCTTCTAGAGCTCTTTTATGCATCTGCACTGCTACAGAAAAGGGCTGAGGATGGATCTCAGTGCTGTTTTAAGTGCTGCATTAGTTTAGCATAGCCATCAGCTCGCTTTCTGTGTCTTTTGGACCGCTCTGAAGGGCTGTCTCCAGAGCAAAGCCTAGGTGTTGCTCTGAGTGGCTCCCTCAAAGGCTGCTACAGAGTGCAGGGTAGAAAAAGAACTGTAAGAAAACTCTTGTCCTATTGTGCAAAGCCTGCTGAGACAGTATGCTTAACCTTCCTCCCTCCCTCAGGCCATACTGGGGGATAGGCAATGCATGCTCTGTTTCATGCTGTGAAAGTACCATTGTGGTGGGCTGCAAAAAAGTCATCTTATTTCTTTATGCAGTTTGAACCGAAACATACAAAATAAATGTGTGCTGCCCTTGAGATGTGGAGCTGTGTGGCCCAAGTTCTATGTAATGCTGATGGACACCCGAGCAAATGAACATGAACTAGCATGTGCCAGTTGGCCTTAGGGCCAAGGGTCATCCCTGGCCCTGTCTGTGTTTAGTGTTACAGGTACAGCGGGGGATTGGACCCAGAGGCTACTCTTGCAGAGCTGTGTTAGGTGATCCTGTAATAAATTTATTGAGCTTCAGCAGAACAGATGGATACACTGACCCCACAGCTCTGATCAGTTTCACTGCTTTATAGCTGGAAAACTTCTTATTTCTATGCTAAGTTAATGGTTTTATACATTCTTGAGTATGCTAGCATTGTTCTTTCAGCTTTTCTTACTAAGTGCCATCAAACCTTCTTCCTCCTTCCCCTCTTCGCCCATGCACTTACTGATAACAGTGATCTTTTGAACTTTTGTTTTAAGGCTAAACGAATCCTGTCAGTCTTACGTTTTACTACATCTTGAGTCCTATTGGCTTGAAATTGTCTCAGTTATCTGTGTTTGCCACAATATAGCATACATTGTACATATCTCACCTGCACTGTGAAGTGTGACTTCTGCTCAGTGCAATGTTAAAGAAAGGGCTGTGCTTGATTAAAAATTATTTTTACCCTTATCTAAATGTAACCTGAGCTGCTGCTGAAAGAAGGCATGAAAATGCTAGGTAGTGCTCATTTTACCTAAGAGGATGCAAATGTTTGCAAGCTGTTTGGATGCTACAGGAATCATGACGTAAATCACCCATATTGATACTCTGCGTTCCCTATGAGAATCTTGAAGCCAATTAAACCTTTTCTTTTGAGCTGTGCAATATACTTGAACAGGTTAGTAGTGTAGCTTTGTTACTTTAGAAAGTAGGTAATGTTTTGCTGAACGCTGTTTTTCTTAGCAGAAAATCAAGCTGCTTTTTGTTGCTTTGTGGGAACTGGTTCTTTCCAGGCTGCCAGTCAGTGACAGAAATGGGGATGTTTCTGTGCACCTCAGAGAAATAGAAAGCTAGTTTTGAACACCCACTTCACTGAGATGTTATTAAAAGCTCTTCCTAAAGCTTTGTGCTCAGTACAGTGTACGGGAATTTCTGAATAATTACGCAAAATTCTGGTGCTTGGAGTCAAAAGTGAGTGCCCCCTGTGCTGTTAGATGAATGCAAAGCTTTGATGATGCATTATTTCTTCTCACTGATCATTTAAAATACTACATTTTTCTCCTATTAATGTCTTATTACTGATGCTAGTTGCTATGCTCCTGTTACGCCCTCTGTCTCCACTGTAATCTAAGAACATCTATTTGACAACCAGTCTCTAATTAAGAGGGTTTTAAATTAAAATGACTGGCAAATATAGAAACCTCTAAGCAATAGAGAAAATACTGAGTAAATATGCTTACAAATATTTATACAGGTTCAGATACGATAAAATATGTGCTGTGGCAGAAAGTATACTCTAATTGAACAGTACCTGCTGTGTAAAATGAAACAAACTGTTAGCAACATTTTGTTGTGTTAGGATTATGAGCTTTTCGTCGATTTTTTTAAAGAGATGAACGCTTGAAGATATTCAGGCAAATGTTACTTCTGTAGAAGCTGTTATTTTGACAGCATAAAACTTGATAAGGCACTATGAAGAAGTGTGATGCACTCTCTCCAACTGGCAGTGCAAAGCCGAGGCTTCAACTGGAATGGGATCTTTAGGAGATGCTCTCCACCTACAGCCTCTCACTCTCTTGTCCTGCCTGGATTTCTTTCTAATTCTATCGTCATACACCAAAATGTCTAAGAAATTTGGGAACTTTGAAATAATTTCTCTTATTCTACTTGCCACTTAAGAAACAGCCCTGTGCTCTGTTGAGATTAGTGCAATCTTGGAGCACTGTGGTAAGAATGGATTAGATTAGCTATTGCTTTTCAGGTTCTGCAAAAGGCTTCCCTGCCTGCTCCCAGCAGATTTTATGTGCTGCTCATAAATGGGCTGGGTAGTCCCCATATTCACTTCCCAGTTCTCCTCTTTTAACAGAACAAATTAGTTAGGTGGGGCTGTTCCCTCTTCCTGACTGCAGTCTGAAAAGGCTAAGGCTCCGATGAAATCTGGTTCATGTTAACCCTGCCTTCTTGCCCCAACCACAGCAACTGCTCTTAGAGCAAAAAAGCAGGAAGGAGTCAGCAGAAATAGCTGTGAGCAGCATCAACCCAACATTAGTGTTCTATCTTCCACTAGTGTAGTGAGCAGCATCCACCCCCCACACTTTCACAAAGATTGAAATAAAATTGGCATTGTTCTATAGTTTGAACCACAGTCTCCAGGCGCTGTCACTCCAGGTGCTTTTCAGTAATTCCTCAGTGCCTTCTGCATGCTTGCTGTGTCCAGCATTGGTGCAGTGAGTAGAGGGTAGCAGGCAAGGAGAGCTTGGACTAAGTTGGGATGGACAAGGGGCAAAAACAAGGTGAAGATTTTACCAAAGGACTGAAAAGAAGAGGGTGAAATTACATAACTCCCAGTATGCGTTTTTGTGCCAGCTTTATGTTGCAGAACACCTTGCCAGTACCATACATTTGTTCTGGGTTTGTCAAGTTGGTTAGGGTGGCAGTAGGAAATCTTACGTTAACAAATAAGTCAGAACATGTTGCGTGACACTGTATGCCTTGAAGTGTATTTCCTTTAAATGTGACGCCATATTTAGTGCGTGAATTCTCCAAATTCTTGGTCTGTTTTTGTGAGTAATCAGCTACATAGAAAGGTCGCTTCCTGGAACCTTTGCTTTGATTTCTGTTTAAAATATAACATGTTACAATGGTCCATACTCCAAGCTCTTCATCAAGCCTCGTAAGCCTTTTCACAGTATTCATAAACATTTTGGGTAATTCTAGTGGTTCTTATGAAATCACTGATCAGAACAGTCTTAGAAGGTGGAAAGAGTGGTTCTGAACACTGCGAGTCAGGAAGAACATATTCATGGTAAGTGTTTAATACTGAAAAATGACTGTCAGTAGGGTAAGTGAGGGGGGGGGTTCTTATTTGCAGGTAGGTTTAAGGATGAGCATTACCTAATATGCAATAAAAGTGATATGCAGCAAGAAAAGATAGAAACACAAGTAGGAATTAATACTACCAGAAATTAATCAGTCCTCTATTTTTTCCCCCCTCTCATGCACGTTGTATTAGGTGAAGGAAATGTCACAGGACACACTGTGTTACTGCATGATTGTTTCTTCAGCTAATGAAGTCTTTAGAGAATACTTTTCAAGCCACTTTTCCAGCATAGAAACCAATCTTCAAGACCTAATAGACCTAATGTAACGTTAACTATATGTGAATATTATTTAAAAAAATAATACTAAACAACTGGGGGTCCCCAGGGGGTATTGCAAAAATTTTAGTTCTAATGGCCTGCTTAAATAAACAGCTTTCAGATTTCTGAACACTATGAACCTGTGCAAGGTTTCTTTTAGTGTCTTACTGTCTGAGAGGGAACAATATTTTGCTAATAGTAGCTGGAGCTCTTAATGGTTTAGAAAACTTTGTGTCACCTTAAATGGGAACTACTCTTGTCATTACAGTTAGGGATTTTGAAATCTGGATTTGACTTTTGTCTCTTTAAGTAATACTCTCTACAAAGTTGGTCAGGTCTGTAAAGTAATCTGTTATCCATACAATTTTTTTATTTATAAATGGATCAACAGTAAATGCCTATGTGCTAGAAAAAGAAGAATGAGGAAGAGGGAGTGAAGACCTATGGGACAAAACCTGAAAATATCTGTCTGATGTCTGTACCTTATTATGGACCATCTAACCTACTATCTCTTACAGGTGCCAGTAGCAGGTGTCTAGGGAAATGTATGAAACAAAGACACAGAAAATAATAGATCCCCCAGAATAGTTTTCCAAGTTCAAACTACTGAGCCAGAATGGTTTTGTAATTAATAGCCCAGTAAACAAGGGGTGTAAAAAGTACTGGAAGGAAGGACTCCTTTAATCAATGTGAATCTTCAGTCTCCTACTACTTTGTGCTTAAAGGAATATTTGGTTGAGCTACAGTGTGCATGTTCACCTCTTCTGGTTTTTAAAACTAAATCCTGTTGGTTTTACTGGAGATTCCAATGCTTTTTGTCTTGAGATGATTGCTTCTTTCATATTATCATCTCTGTGTCGTCTTTGTCTCTCTTTTCACTCTAGAGAGTTGTAGTTGCTTTTAACTTCAAATTGTGTTAAGATAGACAGGAGGCAAAATATCTCCCTCCCTCACTCCGGCTGATTATCTTTTATAAGTTATTTTTGCCCTGAAATTGTTTTTGCTTGGAAGAGGTTTGTTGTTGAAAGTCTGGAAGTCTGTAGTTTCTAAAAGGCTATTTCTCATCAGCGCAGGAGGAAAGTTATAGTGGTACTAACACTGAAATGTGTCTGTGTTTGTGGCTGAGGACTTCTAAGTTTTAGTAAAGTAGAAATATTTGCTGAAGGAATTAGGGTGGTTATTTATTTATTTACTTGTGTGAGCCTTTGAAAACATTCTGTCATCCTTCTTTCTTTTGTGGAGGCCTTTGAGACAACTGCCTGGAATATAAGCCCGTTGTTCAAAGAAACTGGAAAGGGATGGCTCTGTCTAGTCACCAAACCCAAGTTCCAGGTGCTGTTTTACCCTTACTCTTCTGTAACCCCAGAAGAATAATTCTGTGGCTATTCCTTTGAAGGCTGTATAAAATTTATGTAACTGAGTAATATATTTGAAGTCAAAAGTGTTTTCTGTTTTTTTCAAAGTTTAAAAGTTCCTATACTTTTATATCTTGTATAATTGATGGTACAAGTCTAAAATACAGTGTGACGCAGTTATCATAGTAGTAGAAATAATAGTAACAAATCATTTATTTTTTCCTTTGCTGTTATTACTTTCCTATTTTTACGTTGGTTTCTGGCTTTTCTTTCTATGAGAAGATTTGTGAACAGTGTAATTATAGTGATTCTGGGGGCAGCTTGTCTAAGTTGATACTGAGCTTTCTTTAGTAAGTATTTGGTCCTTAGTGACTTGCCTACATGGGAAAGTTTGTGTGCTGTACGTTAGGCTGTAAATTTATAGCACGTTAGCTGTTACATAGACATTCCATGTAGACCTTTAGCACATACGGAAAACATTTCCATTCAATAAGGATTCCTGCATGCTGAAAGTGCAGCACTCAGTTATTCTTCGTGTGGCAAGATCATGCACACAGGGGTCAGTGTATAGTTGCAACTATATTATGAACTTGTGCTCATAACTTTCCCTGTTTTAATTTTCCCATATATGAGAGGAAGACTTTTTTTCCTTTTTTTTTCTTCTATTTCTTTTTAAGCTGTTCTTCAAAACCTGTGCTTGGTGTTGTTTGTACACACAGGTCTCTGGCCGAGCTCAGAGCCACACTTGAGTGCCTGTTTACAACGTCTATCATGGCACCAGACAGTTTCTCAGTAAACAGATGAATACATTCTGCAACTTGCTGACATTCCTAGGTGTAAACAGAAAGTTGTAGCACAGATCCTGTTTCCTAATGGTTTTCTTCAGAAGTTCATGGTGGATGACCTAAACTGAGCTCCCTTCTCCTTTGTCTGAAACACGTTCCATGCTGTACTGATGTGTAGAGCATAACAAGTTGAACCCTCAGTCGCCATCTGACCAGAAGAGCTGTTGTGTAATGGAGGAATAAGGCAGAGTTGTCTGTTGTTACCTGGCCTATCTCAGATCCATGGAGAAATAGAGGACTTTGCTTTCTTGCTTGGGAAGTCTGGCACCTTTTAATGAGCAGTAAACTTGCTTTAATATTAAAGCTGGGACATTTTTATGGTTGAGTGTGTCTTGTGTATTCTTGGGGTGAGAGAATCATGCAGCAGTACTGAGCAGTTCTGGGACCCAGAGGACAGAGCTGCTCAGTTTTACTTCATGATTCTCCTGCCTTTAAGAGCGCATAGTGTGCTCTTAATAACCATAAGAATGTTCCTATCTGTGCATGTAAACACATAAATGAGCTGTTTTATACTGGCAATTAGATACTCCAGAGAGTTGTGAAGCTGTGAGATATTGCTTCACTTAGGGTGGTTGCAACTACTTGGCCCACAGCCTACGGCTTTGTTGCCTGCTATAGGTGTTAGCAAATGGCAATGCTAATGTGCTTAATGATATCATTACTAATCAGCAGCCTGGTCAGAACAATTGACCTTCATTGATCTTGGTATTTCTGCTTTTATTTCTTCCTCTACCCTTTATGACAAGCTGTGCAAGCTATTTGCCTTTGAAAGGATGTAACACTTTAATTTTAGTTTGACTGATTTATTTTAATGAATGATATTATGAACTGTCGTTCTGTTGTTTTTTTTTTTTTCCTATCAGTGTGCCATGCTGAACTGAATGCCATCATGAACAAAAACTCAGCCGATGTGAAAGGGTGCAGCATGTATGTTGCCTTATTTCCATGTAATGAATGTGCAAAGCTCATCATCCAGGCAGGTAAGGAGTACTGCCAGCCTGATTTGTCAGTGTTGCAGTGCTGCTTTCTCATCAGTATCATGGATGTATCTGATGTTAAATTGCTGCTGTTAGATGTAAATTAATTGCATTGTCAACTTCATAAGATGCTACTTGTGGGTTGGGGTTGTTTTTTTTTTTTTTTTGCATCTGAATGGTGCCAAATTTTTCCAGTGCTAATTGCATCTTCTGTGATTCTAAGCGTGCTTCTAATTTAGGTTTGTAACTTCTTAGACCAGGAGCTGCCAAAGAACAACGCAGGCTTTGCATATAATTACTGTCAATTTTACTGTGCTCTGACACTGAATGGAGTAGGGCAGAAAGAAATAAACTTCTGCCATGACAAAAGGTCTGTTGGGAGTATATACATGAAATTTTAATTTGAACGTGATGCATAGTAGATATTTGAAGATTTTAAAATATCTTTGCTCATAAATGTCACAAGATTGCTATGATCCTACTTTAATTATGTCTTTTATTACAATTGTTATAAATCTGTGCCACTGCAGAAAATGTGCTGGCCTAAATGTGTTGCCTTTTTTTCAGATCAGGCACCTGCAATAGGCCGCCATTTCAATGAACATCTCTGCTTAAGCAAAGCTTATGTATGTTTTGTGCGTTGAGTAAAGTCTTGCAGTCTTAGCATGCATTGCTATTCTGAGGACTTCCTCTTGCCATAATGGGCGTCAGAAAGAACAAAATAAGAAAAAAAGTAGCTAAAGGGAGTACTTTTTTTTGGTCTGTAAGGCTTGAAGTGAAGAGGGGTGAAGGTGGAAAGTGACATTTTTTATTTGTGCTACATTTCTCTTATTTACAGAATAAAAATCAAGTGGTCTTCAAAGGTAGACTTGCTGCTTGTTCTCGGTGTAGTCACTCATTCTTTTCCTTATGCACTTAGGTCAGCAGAAAATAGCATTGATATTTATGTTACCTGGTAAATACAGGAAGATGATGTTAGGTCTGAAATGTCTCTTGGGTCAGCCTTTATATTTCCACTGTAAGTAGGGCGCAAATTGTTAATTTGTGTGTGTCATCATTCCACAGTTTGAGGCAATATGTGCTTATGAAACTTGGAACTGAAAGTTACTTATTGAATGGAGAAGAAAAAAGCATCCTTTTATAGCTATGAGTTTGGAAGGGGATTGAGATTTGGGGTTCTTTGGGAGGAATTTCATCTATATTAGGTAACGGGACAAGTTTTCAACAGCTTTTTGCAAAAATGCTTTATTTCTACTCCATCTGCCTTGAGGTTTTCCCTGCAAGCTTTTGGATCTGGTCTTCTGATGTGAACTTAGGTGAAATCAGGGAAAACACTTTCTAATGGTCTGAGAAAAATGCCTTCCCAAACAGCTTTACCTTACACAGACTTATTTTCATGTACGAACTCTATGGTTTACTTCTGCTTAGAGTTCTAAAGTTTGTGGGTGAGTGCTGTCTTTTCTGATTTTGTGTACCAGTTTTTATGTCATTACTTTTTACTTTCCCATGGAATTCCATTTTTTTTTTTTTTTTTTTTAATGACCTTTCTAGGCATAAAGGAAGTGATTTATATGTCTGACAAGTATCATGACTCTATTGAAATGACGGCGGCACGGCGGATGTTTGATTTAGCTGGTATTGTATACAGGTAAGAGAGCTTACAATTAACTTTGTTTTTATTTCAGAAAGGAAGACAATTGTGGAAAAGGCCAACTTTTTGAGCAAAAGTGTTGTCTTTTGCATTGTACAACTTTTTATTCGCTGATAGCAGGCTTGCTCTGTATACCTGTGAAAGATACTGGGTTGACAGACAGTTGCAACATTGTCTTTCCCATATGTGTTGCTGAAGTTCAATTTCATAATGTTTGTATGAAAAAAAAACCCACACAATTGGAGTATTCCTTTTCATTCCTGGCCTTTTTTTTTTTTTTTTTTTTTTTTTTTTTTAGAAGAAAATTTCATTTGCCAGCGAAATTGTGAATATGATAGTTTGTTTGTTATGTTTTACTTGGAGAATCATTGCTGACCTTGGTTTGAGTAGTTTAGACTTCCCAGTGAGTTCTTAGAGTCCCTTACCACAAGAATTATCCTATGTGTGTAACTGAAATGACTAACTTACTTTACAAGGATGACCTGACGATACCTATTGAAAGTTCAGTATCTTCTTGTTGCAGTCAATTTGGGCAGGTATCAGATCAGCCACCTGCAATTAATTCTTGGTGCCTATAGCTGTCCAATCTTCTTTGGTCAGCATTTCTTGTGAGAAAAGTATAAAGTCTGGAATATTTGCCTTAAAGTAATGAGAAACTGAAAAATGTTTGAAGAATAGTTTTTGAAGACACTGGCAGAGATACCTAAAGACAATCTGTTCAACAGCTAGTTTGATAGCAATAACATGCTGTGGGTGAAGCTAATTATCTGGTCAGGAAGGCATTGCAACTCTGAAAAGTTTTACAGTATTAATATAAAGACTTCGAAAAATTTGCAAACATAACAATTCTGACAGATAAAATCTTATGATGAAAGGTACCTACTGGGTTGAGAAACATCCATGAAAAAATATAGCCGTACTTGAAATTCAGTTTTAGTTCTTCAGTGTATTTTGTGCCTACTAAGACTGTTTGACTAAGAAGCATAAATCATTCCCTTGCAAGTCAAATCTTATAACTTCTCCAGGGTGAGAAGTGTTTCTTGTATTTCAGACTGCTGTTCTGGACAAAGTACATTATAGACTGTCAGTTTCTGTGCCCAGCAGCATGAGCTTTCCTGTGTTGACTGTTCTTTATTCTTGTATTGATTATTAAAGATGTAGGTGGTATTTAATGAATCTCTTGAACTGAATTGCAGAGCTTAATTAGGCACTAAATCCACACTATTTGCATAATCCTTTGTTTACTGGTAGACTGGAAAATATATGCTCAGTCCCCAAATACCTTCCTTGCTAATTGCTGTAGCAGATGCTCTAATGATAATAAAAGGAAACAATTTGTGGCTGTATTAATTTTATAGTTTTAAAGTTACAATTTTTAAATCATTCCCTCTTAACTAGTTTGGTTTTTTCCCCAGTACAGTACATAATGTGATCTATTCCCCTAGCAAAAAAAAAAAAAAATAATAATAATAATACACAGAGGCAAAGCTTGAAAATGTTCTTTGAAGACGTGGTAGGGAAAAAATGCCATCAAAATATTTGTCAAAATACATTTCAGATATTTTGTATATACACATACAGATATACCTATGCATGTATAAATATATATAGTATATGAAAATACGTGTGTGTGTGTGTGTGTGTATACATACATGTATGTATGAAATATTTGGAAAAAAAATCCCAGCTTTGGTAACATGATGCTACCGCCTGCAGCTAAGTTGTTAAAACTTCTTTGACTCCTGGGTAATTTATGAACTCCAATAGCCGAAGAATGTACAGGCTGACCCTCCCCATGTGTCTTTTTTTGTCTTAGTCTTTCTTGTCCAGGTTTCTCGCAGTGTGGTGCACTATAATTGGCTCCCACAGAGATGAAAACTATGTGAACCCAAGGAGGGTTTTTTCCGTCAGAAATGCGGCTGGAGCTAAAGCAAGCAAAATGTTTTAACTACTCACTAACTAATATCTGTATTTTTCTTTATTTTAGGGAATTCAAGCCAAAATGTAACAAGATCATCATCGACTTTGATTCAATTAACAGCAGACCAAGTCAAAAACTTCTGTGAATTAAGTCCCATTATATCTCTAGAAGACTGTGATTATCCTTCTCTAAAAAGCTGCTAATGCCTTTCATCTTGAAGTTACTTGCAACTTTTTAATGGCTTCTACAGTAAAGTAGACTTCTAAGAAATGTAAGGCATAAAATGTTCCTCTCACTCCATCTTGTCACGTGGAATCTAAATCAACTTAAAATTTTTAATGCCTTTATCAAATCTGCTTTAAAAGTCTAGGAATGTAGATGAGACAATATAATCCATGTACAGAAAACTGTTCTGGTTCTCGATGCATTCATCACCACATGCTCTGATTGGCTGTCAGCACTGATTTAGAGTCAGTTAAACAGCAGTTCTTATAGTAACCAGTGGTACATTCAAATATGCTAATATATGTTGATCTCTCTATTGGATGTGTGGATCTAAATAGCTGATCCTAATAAATGACAAAATGTGTTATCCATACAAATACCAATCTTCTAACTCGCATAACACTAGTGTTTTAAAAGGTTATACAGATTAAAGTATATATTGTATTTTACATGTGTTACCCAACAAAAGGAAGTTGATTTTTCCATTAACTGCTATCTAATACTGTTATACTTGTGCAGTGGTGAGACAGGAAGTTGTTCTGAGAGTGGTCGATGCTGGAGCATGCTTTAGAGACCTTTCAATTCTTTTTTTTTTCACCAGGACTCCAGAATTGAAGGAGTTAGAAGGAGTATATCATTTCTCTCTTACCTTTGGGACACCTATTTGGAGTTGGTTTTCAGGTATAGAAGGAAATTAGTTTATTGGTCTAAGTTCATTCTAGACGATCCAATACAGTTCAGTCTTAAAATTAACCTGTAAGATAACTCAATCATTTTTTTGCCCTTTGAGAGAAATTGGAGATACTCAACCCATATCCACATCTGAGCCAAAAGAGGTAATTATTATGGTGTTAGCTTGTTTCTCAGTGCTGGCGTAGTACTTTCATTTCTTAAATGTTGCCTAAAATAATATCCTTTTTAATTTTATTTTGAGATCTGGGAATATATTTTGTGTTCATTTTCTCTAATTTGATTTTTTTCAAATTAAATATGCCTAATGGCTTTGTTTTAGATTTTTTTTTTTCTTCTAAAATGTGGTTATACTTCAGTGAGCTTCTATTTTCTCTGAAAAAGCTTTGTTTCATATTTTGGGACGTTATGTAATTTGGCTTCATACCAGTATTATTAAAGTCTTATTAAAATCTACTACATTGAAGTAGACTCATTATTATAATTTTAAGCCATGTACTTGGTTCCAGAGTGCTTCTGCTTTTGCAATCATATGCAAAGCATATTTTGTGTGTTTGTGATATTACATAAAGTGTAATGTTCGTGAAACATTTGGCTACTAAAGGGAGCACTGTAATATATTATAAGATTTGCCCATTTATAAAGTAATTTCTGGTATTCTCTTTTTTTACTATACAACTGCTTTCCACCTCAGAATTGTTCTGTGGCTCACTGCCAGAAGAAGAAATTTGCACATATGTGGAGGGTGAGGGTGAAAAATGAAGCATTACATTAATAAAATATCACTAAAACAGCTCGTGTACATCTTTGTCTTTAGTCTGAATTGGAACTAGAAGCATTTTTACTTATACTGTTCTAACAATAAGACAGGGGAGAGAAGCTGCAAAATTTTGGTTTTGGCAGTAAAATCACTGTTTTCTTCATAGATTTAGGTTCAGGCTTAGAATATGTACGTATTGTGATTCTGGTTAATTTAAACATTGTTATGTAAGGCCTTGGATAATGAGAATGGAAAATGTACATAAAAATTCAAGGGGTGTTTCAACCAAAGTTCAAGTGTTTCTAGGAATGCACTGGTTTTATAATGACGCACACATCGGACTTTCCTGTTCTTGTATAACAGAACAGTTCTGGAGAGTACAGTAGGATTTTATATTTCTTCCAATCACTGTTTTTAGTCTGGTAGGGCCACATATATATCGTGTCAGGGTAATTTTCAGTTGATTCAGACTAGCAAGTGGGAGCTCTAACTTCCAGAGCAACTTTTTTCCTTTCTATTAAACCCACACGCACACTTGAGACAACATGTGCTTAGCCTGAGGTTAATGTTTTAGAACAAATCCTCAAAATTTGACCCTTAGTGTTTGTAGGTGTGCCTAGAAATCTCTTGTCTTTTTTTTTTTTTTAATAGTCCAGGAGATAACACTTTGCCTTCCAGATAAAGAATAATGTCAATTACCAGAGCAAACAATGAAAATCATCAAATACAGTAAACTTGTTTCTGCTCCTGAAGCTCAGGTTCAAGACAAATGGAACTGCATGGGATGGAAAGGCAACTAGAGGCCATTTAGTCCTACTGTTGATGAAATCCCAGCCGGCAATCAGTTAAAACCAGCTGTTCGGGGCTTGTCCTGTTGACTTTTGCATGTCTTTAAGTGTGGGGATTCTGCAGCCTTTCTGGTCACCCATTCCAAGTACTTGCCCCACACTCTGCTTTTTTTTTTTTTTCTTTAGTCAGAATTTCTGCTGCTACTGCTTACATCTCTTGTCTTTCATCCTTTTGCAATACGTGCCTGAAAAAGGTGAGGCTTCCTATCCATAACCATGTGTTAGGTAGCTCAAGTCAGAAGCTGGGTTCCCTTCACCTTCAACCTTTTACTCTGTGGGCTGAATGAATGCCGCTCTCATTCTGTCTGACACATTACATGCTCCACTTCTTCACCATCTTCCTCGCTGTCTGGGGAGCTCAGACTGCACAACTCCAGATGTGGTCTTAAAAAAAAAAAAAAAAAAAGTTGAATAGAGGGGCAGGAATACTCACTTCTGTTAACCTGCTGGCTCTGTGCTTCTGAGTAGAGCCTGTTATGTGATTAGCCTTCTCTGTTGCAAAGGCATTTGGTCATCTTGACCACCTTGGTCCTTGTCTACCCAGGAGCCTTCCATCCATTGTGCACCCATCCAGTCCTCTTACATGAAGTTATTCTGTTCCTGGTGCAGGATTTCCCTTTCTGGAATTGATCATGTTTCTGTTAACCCTGGCTCCATTTTGAATCACCAGCCACTTTCCTTTGAGCCCAATGTTTCACCAATACAGAGCCTCACAGGACCAGTCCTGGCTACCAACAGCATGGCTATGGAAAACCACCTCTCCAGAGGAAAGGCGGGCAGCCAGACTGAGGTTTTGGTAGGGGGCAGTTTCAAAAATGCAGTGCAGGAAGCTGACAGGAGGCTCTGGGAAGCACTTTGACTGTGGTTTCAAGGGTGGGCATTTTGACAGTGTAACAGTTGCCCTTGGAGCTCTGAACACTGAGCATTTTGCAGCTTTGTAAACGAGGAATATCTTCACATACAGAACAAAAATTACACTGTGAGCAGCATAATCATTCCGATTTCCAAAACAGCTTATAAAAACTGCCAGTGAAAGCTCCTCTGGTGCATCACTCAGACCAAAAGCCCTAAATGCAACTCAGGAACCTGCGCTAGTTCATCAGCTGCTGCAAAGAGTCTTGCAGGAGTTTTAACTTTGCTGAGAACAAGCAAAAAGTAAAAATTCTGAAGCGGGGGGCTGGGAGACTTGGCGCAGGTGAAGCGTGACGAGGCACGGGGTCTTCAGCTGCTCGGCCTGCAGCAGCGATCAGGCTGGGCTTGGCCGCACCTGGGAGGAGCTGATGAGGTGAGCGCGTGCGGAGCTCGTGGCATAAGATGGAGGCGCGCCGCGGGGAGGGCGTCCGCTACGGCCGGCGAGGAGCGAGTCCTGCAGCAGGGAGGCAGCGCTACGTGGAGGTAAGGGTGACAAAGGGTGACAGACTGTGAGTTTGGGGCTTGTTCTGTGCTTTTACCTGGGTTTTGTACTTTTTAGAGGAGTTGGGTTGGAGAGCTGCTGTTTCTTTCTTGGGCTTGTTGAAGCTTGCGCTGGAAAATCAGGCCTTTGTCCGCGTGCTCCCTCTCATCTAAACATGAGACAAAAAATGGAGCTCGGTGCGCTGGATTTTTAGTTGTTAGCGTTATTTACAGTGTTCTTAACAAACGGTGCCCTAAAGGGAGTGAAAGTAATGTGCTTCAGCCACCAAATACGCATCATAAAGAAACAGTTGCCCGCTCTTTCCTGGGATTTCCCACTCCGTGTTCTCACCTCCCCGGTCCTTCACTGCTTTCACCTAACGCGTGCTCCAGTTCTGTAGGGCTCCTCGCACCGAACGAGGGGGAGCAAAAAGCGTTCAGATCATCCCTTCGGTGGTGTTCGGCTTTGCTCCGTGGTTCGCTGCGTTCTTCAGTTGGTTGTGCAGCTCGGTGCAGTCTTCTACGTGGCATTTCTTTTTTTTCCTCTTTTTTTCCCCTCAACTGTTCAATCAGCTCTGCTAATCACAGTGTTGCTGGGTAAACAGGGCTGATTAAAATTAAAATTTCAGTTTTGCGTTGTAAACAATGTGGCACTTTAATACTTTTGCTGTTGTGAAGATACTACTAATAACGCATCTGGTGTTTTCTGGTGTGGTTCTCGTGCTTATTCCTTGAGAAGCTGATGAGTTTTCGAGAGATCCACGTTCGGTTGCTAGGATTTTGTGGTACTCGCGTTTCCTTTTTCAGAAACGGCTGTGCGTAATTACATTGGATATATGTATCGTGTTTATTCTTTCTGGTTTCAAATCTTACGCATGTTTCTGTGACAACTGGGGAAGTTGCTCTGTGAGAAATGAGTCTTTGCTGTTAACATTGCCTATCTGAGAAGAAAACAAAAACAAATTAAAAGAGGACATCCAGAAAGTAGTTCGGTGTGGAAACGACTTGAAAAAGTGTTAATTGTTGTTTGGAGGCTCCGCCTGAGGAAAGGGGTAGACCAGAAGGAGACCAGAAGGCTCTCGGCAGGAAAACAAATCTGTGATAGGGTGCTGAAATTTGAGCATGAAAGGAGGAGAGAAAAGGACTTGTGGGCCCTGAAGAGCTGTGTTATTTGTTGGGTGCTTCGAGGCCAAAGGAAGCTGTCTTGAAACAGGAGAATGGACCTCACTGTGATTTGAGCAAATAGGATTAGTAAGAAAAAGGTTGGAGATCTTGAGCAGCTGAGGCTGTTCTGTGCTGAACTGAAGGAGCTTTTCAAAGTAATTAGGGAATAATAGTGCCGTGGGGTTTTTCTTTCTTCCTTTTTTTTCTTCTTTTCCCCCTGAAGATCTACCTTTCTCTTGTGCTAATTAAGGTTATTGTCTTTCGAAATTCACAGCCTTAGTGTGCCTGCTGCTAAGAGGTCGCTGCAGAGTACCTACATGGTTGGTTAGTAGAAGCACCGTGAATGCTGTGTAGGCTGAGTGCAGGTGGGAACCTGGTGGTACGTGAGAGAGGCTGACTGCATCCCACTGAGAGTCAGCATCTCTCCAGAAATAAAACTAACCAGCTGCCTCTGGAGCAGTGGTTCCAGGTGTGTGCTTTGAGCTCTGCCTGTTCCTCTGCTTCTTATTCTTTTGCGTCCTCAGTGTCTCTTCCTGCAACTCCCATCATCTGCTCTGAGGTCTCTCCAGGGACTTGCAAAGACAGGAGCAAGAGGGGCTGTACGGCATGCAGCAGGATGCAGGTTCCTGAGGATGGGTCTGTGGAGTCCTGCACCCAGTAGGACTGACTGAAGCCTGCAATAAGGTGGCTGATGTCTGGGGTGGTCCTTGATGTGAAGCATAACAGTACCTTCATATGTTTGGCTTGGGGGAGGGGGCTGTGGGAATAGGCTTATAAAAGAGCCTTAATGGAGCACTCTGCATTATGTCCCACTGTTTGCTGCTGTCCACTTCCTTTGCTTTCCTGTTGATTGGTGCTCAGATTATGAGAAGGGCTGTAACCATCCTTTGCAGTGTGTATTCCCCTTGCAGCTAAGGTGGCTGTACAATTCCTGCTCATGACAGGGTGTAAAATATGTGCTTAACTATCTTTTAAGTCAGTGGGGCTAAAGCTGGTATGTGCTCACATCCTTTTCTGGCCTGAGGTCTACAGATAGAGTCTGACATCCCTATTGGCATTCTAACAACGCCTTTCTGACAAAGGCTGCAAAAACACAG